CCTGTTTGGGACACTAATCAGCTGGGAGCCAGGGTTCAGATGAAGGCAGCAGGCAGCTCTGGGGTAAGCTCTCACAGGAGCCTGGTCAGAGATGCTTGCTAGGCAGGCAAGGGGGCTTGCTGGACTCCAGGCTGGCAGCTGAGGGGCAGCACAGGATGGATGCGCTGACCTTGAGCTAGGTTGAAGCAGGAGCCCCTGGCATGTAGGGTCCAGAGCCCCAGTGCAGGCGCATGCTCCAGTGCATTAGCCCACTAGTGCTGCAGGCACATATAGGAGCCGAGCTAGGCTGGCATACTGTGGTCGGAGTGCAGGCTCCCAGGGCAAGGGCTGGGAGTCCTGACTCTGGAGGTGGCCAGAACGCCTTCCTCAGCCACCCTCTGGAAACCCGCCTCACCTCGGTGGCAGTCTTGATCACGGGCCCCCTTGGCAGGCCCGAGCAGGGGCCCGGCTGTCTGCAAGGTTCTCAACGGGGCTGCGAAAGTGCTGTACAAGCTGGTCTCCGGCCAGTGGGGTGGAACCGGGGCACATGGCTGCGGTCGAGGATGAACTGGCTCCTAACCTGTGATCTTCCCAAACAAGCCCCAGAACGCGGCTGACCGGAGCCCCCGAGACGGCATGAGGAGATGGGGCCAGGCCAGACTGCTGGAGGATTTACTTCCAAAATGCAACATTAGCACAGGCAGACGGTGTGCCCTGAGCAGGTGAGGGCCCTGCTTGGGGCAGGGGCACAACAGCTAGGTCTAGGGCTGGGTGCGGGTGCAGCTCCTGCCAGACTCCTGAGAGTGTCGACATGTCCGGCCTCACCAGGGACCTCCCAGCCTTGCATCTGAAACACTTGTCTGCTGCAGGGATCCAGCACAGTTGGCCCCATCTGACGCACCTGCAGCCCCTTGGAAAGGTGAAGCCAAGGCCTCTGAGTCCTGGTCACTCCAGGCCCTTGTTCTGAAAGAGCTTGAGGATGTGGTTTTCAATCACCTGTTGCACTGATGGGGGCAGAAAGGAGAAACAAGGCAATAAGTCCCAGGAGGGCTTAGCGGGGGCAGAAGGCAGCATGTGCCTGCTCCCTAACCCAGCCAGGACAGGCAGAGCCCTGATGGAGTAAAAAGAGCTTCAGCTGCTCTGGGGTCACTGCTGTGTGTCTACGCTCCTGCAGTGGAAGCTAAACCCAGGGCAGGCGGCCCTGGTTCAGCCTCCCCCTAACACGGTGCAGCGTTTCATCTGTCCACTCTTTGCGGTCTCTAGCAGCTCTGTGTGGGGTTGGAGTTATTCCTGCTCCATCCTATGGCCCCCACCCACCCCCCAGCCCTCACTAGCTACTGGCTGCCTCTGCTCCACTTAAAGACGTCTCTGGAGAAGTCCCAGGTTAGGGCAGCTGGGAGTGTAGGGGTAGGAGCCTGCTGGGAACTCCTGGCCCCTTCCCTGCGCAGCAGGATACTTGCCCTTCTTGTGTCCCAGGGCGACAGCCAGGTCCATAGGGGTGTAGCCAGAGTCGGCCTCCGTGGTCAGATCTGCTCCACGAGCTGCAGGTAGACGGGCGCACAGGTTCAGGGACCACCCTCTCGCCTGCACTGACGCCCTGTCCCAGGCTTGGGAGCAGCACATGGTACCCCAGGGACTCTGCTTGCCCTGCGCCATGCTAGGCAATGGAGCCCGCCCAGCACTTGATGCCTGCGACAGTCTGGGGCTCCAGGAGCTCTAGCTTTGGCCTGTCACCTGCTGCTGCCCCAGGAAAGAAAGCCACCAGCCCTTCCCCAAGCCAACTCAGCGCCTTCCCCAGGTCAGACCCGCCAGACACAATCTGCCCTGGCAAACCACGGCACAAGCACGGTCTCGTTACCTAGCAAAGCCTCCACGCACTTGACGTGGTTGCCACGCACCGCGTACAGCAGGGGGGTGCCGCCGTTCTGCAAGGGAACAGAAGGCAGCTGTCAGAGAGCCCCGTCTTCCCCTGCCCTGAACACCCGTGCACCCAGGAGGCCAAGGGCAAGCTTTGCTGGGGCTTCCTGGCAGTTTACTGGGGGCACTGGCCGCCTGGGTGGCTCAGCTGGGGCTGGCACAGTGATCCTGTGAGGGGATGTCAGGCGTGATCACAGGAGGCCACGCTTTGCTGCGCCTGGTCACGCCAAGGAGGGCTGTTCCCTCCTGCCCGCGGGGCAAGGGCTGGGGCTCATCAGGCCTTCCCTTGGCTCTGTCTGTCCAGGCTGCTTGAGGCTCCACAGCCAATTTCAGGGCTTGGAGGGATTTTCCTTCTATGAGGCAACAGGGCATTTTTAGTTCCTGGTTCACTTGCTCAGGGTCTGTAAATCACTGCAAGGTCAAGCTCTCTGCAGGCAGCCCCTGGGCTTGCAGGGCCACTTTGTCCCAGGGAGCAAAGAGGGATGTTAACCTGCCTCTTAGAGATCCATCTCTGCCAGGTCAGCCACCTGGCCCCTGCAGCAGCAGCGCTAGGCTCTGCTACGTGCACTGCTCTACCTTCTCTGCACGCACAGACCAGCGGCCTTGTGCAGGCCTGCCCTCTCCTTCCTGAATTTGCTGGATTACACCCAGAAAGCAGCTGCTGGATTATTTTTAAAGACGGGTTTTTTAGAGGTGTGTTTAGCAGCAGCTGCCACTGGAGCCCAGGCCGCCTGTTCCACGGCCGGGGCCGTAGCAGAGTTACCCAGTCGTAGATGTTGATGTCAACGTTCCTCTCCAGCAGCATGATCACGATGTCGGTGTATCCCCCTGTGCTGGCCAGCGACAGCGCGCTCTCCCGCTCCTTGCCCAGGATGTGGGGGTCGGCACCCTGGGGATGGCACAGGGCCTCAGCCAGCAGGTCACAGGGAGGCAGCTCCCTGCAGCCCTGTGTCTCGCTGTTTAAGCTGCTTAAAACAGAGGCTTGCAGGAACTAATCAGAGGAAAGACTCCAGCCTGCCCCCCGCGCACACACCAGGTTGCCCTGTTCATTGCCCTGCCAGGCTCAGGACCATTGTTCTGCCTCCAGCCCTATGCAGAGCTCAGGCAGGAAGCTCCAGGCACTGGACCCCTCCCCACAGGGTAGAGGCTTTTTGTCCTCCTCGCTTACCCAGCCCTTCCCTCCCAGCCTGAAGCACGTCCTTAGCATCCCTCATTGATGCACTGCGCTTCATAACCTCAGCCTCTCCCTTGTCCTTATTGATATATGCGGCTGTTTTGCTTCTACCTGCTGCCCTCATTTCACCCGTGAGCCAGGCTGGGCTGTTCCACAGCTCCTATTCCTTGGCTTTTTAGCCATATAATCAAACTCTTCCTAAAGAGCTCCCAACTTCCTGCAGCTCTCAAAACCCTGGATCCACAGGGCCTGAGGCCTCTGGGCCAGCAGTTCCCTGTGGAAGGAGGCCCCATCAGCAAGGAGCTGTGCCAGGATGCCAGAAATGCATCTCAACAGCGGGCACGTTTGAGGGCCCCAAGGCGCAGCATGAGGCTGGTGCGGCTCAGAGTTCATTACTGGGACAATGCCTTGGCAGTGCACTGAGGGGGGATTACGCAGCCCTGCGATAAGCCTGATCTCAAATTACCAACAAGCAGCTATTTAATTACAAACGGCTCTTTCTGGCCATAAGATAAGGTTCTTAGTGGTCTTGACTTCACCCATGGGCTCTGTGACTGGGAGAACGGCTCAACGCTAGCCCCTAGACCATTTCCCTTGGGGAACTGGGCTTCCATTTTGCTCTGCTCAACGGAGCCAGTGGCTAAAGCCACTGGGAAGCTCTGGGGGCTGTGGACACCCCTGTCCTGGAGACCTGCAGGCAATCTATTGTTGGGTGGAGGGGGAGGAAAGAGACCTCCAACCCTGTGGGATAGATGCAAGGGGCATGCCAGCATTTGGGGACTTGCTGGTGGGGGTTAGGCAGGGTGGGGAGGGGGCATCCCCAGGACAGGGGGTAACTTAGAACCTCACTCCAAGGGCAGCAGCTAGCAAGGGAGGTGCTTTCCTTCCAGGACAAGGCAGGTCCTGCCAGCCCAGAGCTGATGAGCTGTGTGGGAGGACGCCCTGCACTCGGTTCCCTGCGCAGTCCAGCCAGTCCAGCACTGCAGGTTCAGCTCTGGCAGGGGGGCAGAGGTCCCAGGCAGGCACCCAGCGAATGCCCACGCTGACACCATCCACTCACCCATTCCAGCAGGTGACGGACAGTCTCGATCTCCCCGAAGGCCGAGGCCCAGATTAGCGGGGTGAAACCTCTCTCGTCAGGCTTGTTCACCAGGTTCTTGCCTATGCAGAAAAAAAAAGCCCCGCGTGAATAAGCCACTCCCAGCACCTGCACTTACATAGCCCCATTTCACAGGTGGGGAAGCCACGGCCCAGGCAGCCACGTGACTCTCACCCAGGACACGGGGAGTTCCTGACTCCCAGCCTGGGCCCCAGCCCTGTGTGCTCCTCTACAGGATGATTCAGATCCTTAAAGCAAACCCAAGGGACATCTCCCCACTCCCCAAGAGGGAGGCACTCTTCAGCTGCACCCTGCATATCCACCTGCCATGCCTTGAGGCAGTGACTCAGGGCAAAGTCCGGGGGAAGGACAAAGCAGGTGAGATGTACAGGAAGGAAACTGGGGAAGAAAAATCCAAAGCAGGAAGACAACAGGAGCCTGGTTCTTCCAAGAGTGCATGCTACAAAGTACCCCTGTGGTCCAGAGCTGGGCCCAGCTCCAGGGATCCTGGCTGCCCCACCCCACAGCTCTCACCCAGAGGTGGGACTGCCTGCTCGGGAGGCAGCGGTGGGGATGGCTGGGCAGTGTGGGAAGGGCAGCGCTTGAGGGAAGGGGTGGCACTCACCTCTTTGGAGATGCTCCTTCAGCTGGCTGAGCTCCCCCTGTGCTGCCAGCTGGTGGATGGACAGAGCTGGGTGGGAAAGGGGACATTGGGTTAGGACAGTGGCAGGCAGCTGCATGTGGCATGGGGCACACAGCCTTCCCCACAGGCACCATCCATTCCAGCCACCACACCCCCAGACCCTGTTACTCACTGTCGAGCGTGGCCGGCAAGGCAGAGACCTCATTGCCTCTCTGCCGGTTGGTCAGAGTGGTTGAATGTTTCAAAGAAGAGCCTGCTTGGTTGGAGGGAAGGAGAATTAAAGCACGATTATGTCAGTGGGAACATCTTGGACAGCAGAAGCTGGGCTGGTCCGGGCTGGGGTGGGTGGGCAGGGGCAGGAGATAATGCACTGAATGACCCCAAGCACAATGCTACCCCCTCCTGCCATGGGGAGGAACCAGCCCTATGTACTGAACTTTAACCTATAATCATCAAAAGCAGCCTCTGGCATTTGTCCGCTCAACCCGAGACGCTCCGGGCCCCTTTTCCCCTGATGGGTGGAAGCAAGCTACAGCTCCTGCTGGAGCCTCCAGCTCTAGCACAGCACCCCGAAGCCATGGCCCCGGACCAGGGTACCCAAACCTCTGCCCCTCCAAGCTCCCTGCTGCTGTACAGGGCCCTGCCTGTCATGGGCGCCTCTTGCCTGCCTCATCTGGCTACTTGCTCGACAGCGCAGGGATGTGAGGGCGCAGGCTCCCTGCAGTGCACATCCCACCAGAAGCTACGCTGGGGCCACCACTTTGAAGCCCAGACATACTGACCATCAAGGGCCGAGGCCTCACTGCCTCGCTGCTGGCTCGCCAGGATCACGGAGGGCATCAGGGACGAACCTGCTTTGTTTGAAGAAGTGAGCGATGACTTTTCCCGGACGAAGATTCCCGGATGATGAGATAGGACCACAACTGTCCCAATCCTAGGCCCGCGTTCTGCCCGGGGATGAGATACCAGCCCTGGGGTCCTGCCCTACCAACCACCCCCCTCTGCCACCCTGCAGCCGAGGGATGCAGGGGCTGCTGGGGCATGTACATAGCCACGGCTGGGGCGGCAGCTCTGATGCACTCGGCTGTGGGAGAGCTAGGGGCGGGTTTATAGCTCAGAGCAGCCTCCTGCCTCACAGTCCCCAGAACCCGCGGGAGGCAGGTGGCAATAACAACATGCCCCTGGGGTACGAGTCCAGCCCCTCTGTCCCGTGTCTTCTGGGCTCTTGGGGGGCCTCTCAGCCACAGCAAACCCAAACTCCCCACCACATCTCTCCCCGCCAGTTGCTCACCGTTGTGATCAGGGGGGGCCTGGCCAAAGCATGGTTTCACATCCTCCTGCTTGCAGGGATACAGACGCGGAAACACCGCGGCCAACTCGTCATCCTCCCGGGCCACAGCCTCGGCCAACTCCTCCACCTCCCGGTCCTCTTCGCATTCGCGCTTCAGGCTTTGGCACCCGCTGGAGCCCTGTGCAGAGGGGCTGGGTGCCGTCCGTCTGCCCTCCATGGGCACAACTGCAGGTTAACAGGAAAGTCATCAACCAGTTGCCTGGCACGGACACCAATCTGTGTGCACACCTCTGCCGGGGAATGGCAGGATGCATATGCCTGCTGGTTAGCTCACGGGGGAGCTAGACAGCACCTTGCAGCGCAAGGGTTGGTCTATTCCTGGGGGTGCACGGGGCAGGGCTCCCCATCACCAGGCCCACCCTGAGCACTGGGGCACAGCATTTTTTTGCAAAAGCTGGAGATTTTCCCGCGCTGCAAGGGAGACTCGTGACTTCCTTGGTGCCGTGCAGAGTTTCCCGCATGGGGTGGGCATGCGCGGCTCTTCTCCCCCCTCACATCTGCCCTCGCCCCAGCTGCTCCCGCCCGTCTGCGGGGTGATTCTCCCCTGCCCCCACCGCTGCCGCTTCCCCGCCCCAAAACTGAAACCAACTTGTCGTCCTGTGAGGCAGTGGCCAGGGGTGGCGCCAGCCCGGCCCAGCCCAGCGCGGGGGTCCCGTCGGGGCGCTGCCCGGGCCCGGCTGCT